AAATAGTAAAACAATGGAAAAATATTTCTTTATAAAATAAGAACAAAATGTAAAATGTTACTTTCTGATATATAAAACATATATGTACATAACAAAATGAAATATTAAATATATTATATATTTTAATATTTCATTTTATTAACTTTCTACTTGTTTTGGTATTTTATTTATAATAAGAACGTAGAGCTGCTCTCCGTGTGTCACTTTTCCCTTTATAAAACTGTGTTGTTCATTCAGCAGCACATTAATATATGTAAGATATATAATGTGTATATATATTTTATAGTAACAGGCAGTTTAGATGGCGCTGAGTCTTTTCCTGCATTTACATTCAGCTCTCTGAGTCCTCAATGATTGACAGCTCCAAGGAGAGCAGGGGGCGGGCTGAAGCTCCAGTCCCTGCGCTCTCATTGGCTGCTGCTGCTGGTAGAAAATGCGCATTGAGAGAGCGAGGGGGAAAAAGAGAGAGAGAGAGAGGAGGGAGGGCGAGCAGCGCTCCTCAACAGAGTCTCTCAGCAGAGAGAGGAGGAGGAGGAACAGGAGGAGGAGTGAGCTCACCTGACGGAGGGATTCTCCTGCAGGACGAAGACGACAACAAGCGAAGGAGGAGGAGAAGAAGAAGAGTGGGAGTTGAAGTTGGAGGACGAAGAGATCAGCGTCTGAGGAGGAGGAAGGAGGGATTCTTTCTTTTTTTTTTCCCAGAGTGCAACAGGAGAAACTCTCCTCTTTTTCTGTCCTCCCCATCAGCTCATCCCTGTCTTGCCTCCACCTCTCCGCCTCCTTCCATCCTCCGTCTTCAGTCGGGGTTGTGGCGTCTCAGCAGGAGGCTGACGTCAGTTTTGGGGTGCTCTCTCTCTCTCTCTCTCTGCATGTGTGGTGTGCTCGCTCGCCCCTGCCTTCCCGTCTTTCTTTTCTCTTCTCTTGTTTTTTTTGTTTTTTTCCTGGTGAATGTTTTGGACGTGAGAGCGAGCGGACGCTGCTGACGTGCATCTCTATTTGCAGCCCAGGGATTCTCCTCCACCGCCGCCGCCGCCGCCAACGCCGCAGCATCAGGAGGCTGCGTTCAACAGCCAGTTTGAAAACAGACTCACATTTTGGAAAAATCAGCAGCAGAAGATCAGAGTTGTGGTTTGGATATTTTGTGTTGGTGCTGTTTCTCTGCAGGAGCTGATGGGATTAAACACACCGAGGCGTCTGGAGTGTGTCGCTGTTTAATGAGGCGTCAACAGGAAGCTGACCCCACTTTGACAACCAAACTTCATTTTTAACAAAACAACATCCTCCAGAAAATATTTACTTCTTTCTCTGATAGACCTGCAGTTTTCTTTCTCTGTTGGTCTCCTTGAGATGAAAATTTGTCCTCAATTTAACGAGTAATAATCAAAAATATTTGCAGGGCGAATTTACTCTCTGTCTCTATTTAATCACACATTTAAACACTGTGTATAAAGTTGCCCGATGACGATATTTTTTACATAAAAAGTATTTTAAAGGAGCTGAAAAGATAAATCTCTGTGTGGTTTAGTGACACGTGAACAGGAAGGACAAGCTGCTTCCAATATTTAGTGACAGAATTTATCTTTGGCTCCATCAGTCATTTCATTTATTCATCTTAATTATAAAATTAATTGTATTTGTGAAGTTATTTCTTCAGTAAACCTGCAGATTTGTTGTTTTCTTTCTCTGTTTGGTACCCTGAGGTGGAAATTTGGCAATATTTATAAAGTAAAGTAAAAATAATAAGTATTGTAACAATAATTTACTCTCGGTCTCAACAACACTGTGTATAAAGTTGCCTGATGCTGAAATTTTTAACATAAAAAGTCTTTTTTAGAAGATAAATCTTGCAGAGCTGTTTAATGAGACGTGGACAGGAAGTACAAGCTGCTTCAAATCTTGAATTTAGTTAATGTTATTGTATTTTTGTATTTATTTCTCTGATAAACCTGCAGCTCTGCTGTTCTTGTGGACATTTGTCCTCAATTTACTGAGCGATAAGCAAAAAGAATCATTATCTGCAGCCCGGATTGGAACAATTCGGTTTAATCAACTAAACATTGTATAAAGTTGCCAAAATCTGAGTTTTTTTCACGGTTAAAAGTCTCCTGAAGGACCTGAAAAGATAAATCTCGCAGCAGATTGCGTCCAAACTGATCAGCGGCTGTGACGTGTTTGTTGGCAGCGTCTTTTTGTTTTCGTGGCGTTGCCTCCACAGACCTGAGCGAGCCGCCGGCTGTCAGCCTGCAGGATTATGAGCCGGATGAAACGCTGCTGTGTTTTTATGCATAATGAATAAAGATCCATAATGCAGCAGGGCTGAGCTCCGCCGAGGACACAATCAATTCACACAGCTCGTCCGCTCATCTGTTTAAAAACCTAGATCCATGCTCTCCATTTGCTGGAAACAGGTTTTCCTTTTTTGCAGAGCTGGTTGTCAAAGTGGAGTCAGATCTGTGACACGTCTGTGAGACTCCTGCAGAGTTTCACGAAGAGTTCTGAATTATTCGGAGGTCATCTAGAGGTCGTCCTCTCCTCTGCGCGCCTCATCTTTCCCTCTCAAACCAAAGCTCGTCTTGGTTTTCTTGTGGTCGTCTGCCCGTTAACAGACTCTCTTCTTCTTCATTTCCTGGATCGCTGTTTTTAAGCACAGAGACTCTGAGGTCCAGTCGGACTCTTGTGAACCTGAATCGGACGCTAATCAGACGCTCTGAACTCTGAACTCTGAAAAAACCACCATGATTGGCGTCAACAGCATCCACTCGTCAGGCCGCATGCGCTCACGGTCGCTCTGCTCGGTCCGGAGCGGGCGGGACTCGAGGGACACCGACCCGTTCAGGTATCCCAGAACCCCCCGCTCTCGCTCCCTGAAGCCGCTGGCCTTCCCCGACCTGCTGGGGAAAACCCAGGACGGACAGCAGCACCGGCAGAGCCGCAAGAAGAAGGTAGAACCTGGAAACACCCAGTTTGAGATTTAAGAACGTGACACTATGTTTGCACTTACAGACCACAAGAGGAGGTAGAACACCGCAGAGCGCAGGATACAAACACAAGAAGAAGGCAGTTTTCACAACCGGGAAACCTGTCAGTGCTCCTGAGGTTGTAAAAACTGTCACTGAAAGGAAAACATATGGATATAAACTAGATTAACAAGAATTTGTATGCAACGTGAGCTTATTGATATATATACATAAACACCATACGTTCATTTAGTAGGCAGCATGCAGAACGTAGGCGTAGCACTTTATTCAGAAAGCTTGATTTATCCTCCTGCGTAGGCTTCGCACGTAGCCACGCATTTATTCTTGTGCGTCCGTGTCTCCGTCGTTCTGCGATTACACCCCCAAACACTAGTCGGCAGCAGCGCTACAGCGTCCACTGTGTCGACTTTTGCCGGCCGAGCAGGCTAACGTGAATGGGGGTAAAATTGTAAACGTGCGGCCGGTGTAGCCTTTTCAAATGTCACCGACCGAGTGGATCACAGTCTGATAGCGAAACGAGTCATTTCACAAATATATTGATCCACCGTGTTACAGCCGCTGGTTTGGCCGCTAGTAAAAGTAACTTCAAAGCACGGGGCACTTCCTGTCGGCATTGCGAGGCTACCTAGCCGACCAATCACAGCTCTCACGGTCCGCGTCGCCTCGATGTGTAGTTACATTTTTGAGGAGGTGTAGATGACGGCGCTCCGCAGAGGCTACGCCGTCGATTTGACGCAGAAGTATAAATCGCAGTTAAGGGGGAAGAACTTTTTATGATCAATCACCGTGAGGTCAAAACCGGTAAACTACTTTGAAAGCGCATAATATTTGTTTGGAAGAAGGTCTATGATTTAAAACAGAGCAGGTATTTAAATAAAGGCCCGTCTCTAATGAAGGCCGGGTCATTAAGGACCTCGTTCAGTCCGGACAGCTCCAGGAGTGAAACCTCCCCGGACCAGACTGAGGTGCTCTCAGCTCCGGATCACACTGGACCATGGTTCAGTTCCTTTCTAGGGTGAAAGCATTATTTTGGATGGTTTGGACTTTCAGACCGTTTACAGGAAGTTCCGGTGGTTCTTGTGGAAAGTAGCAGAGAAACATGTTCCTGACCCCCAAAGCTACCCCCCTGAAATAATATAACTATGTTCCACACACAACGTGGAATTTGACAGAACAAATGGAATTAACTGTAAAACGCGGAAAGTCGTGGAATCTGTAAAAATGTTGATGCTATTTATAGATTTAGGGAAGTGTTTTTGCCCGCAGCGCTTCAGGAACACGGTGCTGCTGTCCTCATCCCGTCAAACTGTAAACAAGGAGCAGCGCCGCCCACCGGAGAGCAGCGTCAAGTAATGACCTGTGACCAATCACATGACTGCACATATATTATGATATTTACATAATACATCAGATTCATTGATACTGATTCAACTCATTGTTCACATGTGATCACAGACTGCGATGATAAAAGGTGCTTCAATTGTAAAACACAGAATACTCAGTAAAACACGATAATTGGCAATAAATAAAGCAGCTTTCTTGTGGTCGTGGTCGTGGTCTCGTCGCTCGGTATCTGAATATCCAGCTCCATCAGGAGGGAGAAACTTTAGCAGTAAAACTGTCTTAAGTGTACGGAGAAGGTGACGAGGCTAAACAGACACCACATATCCGTAACTCTGCAACGCCGGTAGTTTCGGTGGAGAAACATCGTAGGGGAAACACTGGCTCTGAACAGGTACGAGCAGTTTCGACGTTAACAACAGAAAGTGAGCTGAATTCAAAGCTGTTAATGGGACAAAGATGTTCCCCTTATTAGTCTTTCATAATAAATCCTACAGGAGGAAATCCAATCAAAGCTGCTCTGTAAATCTGCAGCCTTCTCTGCTGACAGAAAGACAAACTTCCTCTAATGAACTGAGACGATCTGAGTCCAGGTTTCTGTTTTAAACCTGCAGGTTAAACTCGACTGTTTCTGTGGTGTGTTTTTATGTGTATATCTGACTGTGTGTTGTGTCTCTGCAGACTCTGTACAGCTCCATCAAGAACGAGAAGCTCCAGTGGACCATGTAAGTTTCCTCCTGCAGTCTGAACCACCAGCTGGTTTCCACTGGTTTTAACTGTGTGTGTGTCCCCGCTGCCCCGACTCTCTTATTTAAGCCTCTGTTGCCGTGGTAACTGTTCCCTGCTTTCTGTCCTCGCTGTAATTACAGGTCGGCATCCCGACGCCCAGGCTCGACTGTGGACACGCGCGCAGTATTATATGCATTTTGCGTGTGTGCTCGGTTCTTCTTCTCTCCTTCCTGTCTGGATCTTAATGTTCTGCAGCTGTTTTATTTTTTAACCTCTTAACATTCCTGTAAAATTCGTTTTAAAAGTAAATTGAATGCAGTTCTTGAACCATCTGGAGTATCTGCCTGGTTTTGGGCTTCTCTGAAAGAAACACTCTGCAGTGTCTAACCCAAAAGTCAGAATGACTGTAAGAGCTACTGGAACTGATTAACATAAGTTTAAACACACTAAAACTAATAGATTTTTCATTTCTGCTTGAAAATGTTAACAAATGCATGCAGACAACTACAGCTGGGAAACACTGCGGGGCCGCAGCATAAAGCCTTAACTTACCTAGAACAAGTTTAAACTTCATACCAGTACCATGAAAAATGTTTTCCACAGTGCATTTTTTCTGAAACAGCCCCTTGGCGGCTGCTGCTGCGTCGCTCCGTATCAGCCGGCAGCTCGACGTAGACGTGCTTTTTATTTGCTGGTAGAAAATGAACTTCCTACTTGGTTATTTTCAGAATTTTATTGGCTACACGAAGTGCCGGTCATCGGCACAGTTGGTTGCAATTGGCTCGGTCTACCCAGGAAATAACAGGGGCCATGTGAGCTCCTGTTGGGTCGGATTAGCCCTCAGTCGAAAGGTCAGAGTTCAGCGGCTAATTTGAATACAAGCTATCGTAGTTTTTTACATTTAAATCGGAGTTATTACGGTTATAATGACATACGAGCCACGTCTGCCAGCAAATATGAAGCAGCCGTCTCTGGGGATTTACTGATGGAATAATGTGTTTTATTATATCAGCAATAACGGCGTGGAAAACAATTGATTTTTAGATGCATCGCGATGCGGACGATTCTGAATCGATTCACAAATGTCAATAAGCCCATTAGCGCTTAGCTAGCGTCCTCTCCTCATTCTTCAAAGCTACGTGACGATGAAAGCAGAGTTAAACATGAGCGCTACGTTTCAGTCTGGCTGTAAATGTACAGTGCAGGTCACAGTGTGTCCGTTAATTAAAGTCTGTCTGTTGTTTTCCAGCCGCTGGGAAAGAGGAGGCAGTTAGCGCTAACGTTAGCTAACATGTCCTCTTCAGACTGCGGTCTGGAAGCTGAGCAGGACGCTCTTTGGCTGCTAGTTCAAGCTCGTTTGTTGTCATTCATCCACATGTCGAGGGCACAAATGAATGAAATGCTGCTTCTCAAGGCCCACGGTGCTCAGATTACAGTAATCCACTTACAGGACAAGACAAACATGTAGCGACAGCAGACGAGACAAAACACAGGATCAGATATATTAAGGTGGAGTGAACGTGGTTTGGCTGCAGCGTTGTAAAGTGCGAAGTTCAACACGTATCTGACTCTGTGCTAATAAACAGCAGCAGCAGAGGTCAGTGATAAAGCTGTAACCATGTAATAATGCTATGTTAGCTACATTTATATGACGTAACATAAATATCTGCATTTCATTTCTACCTACTTGTTTGGATTGTTGTTAAATACTTTGCTTTAAAAGTACCAAGTCGTCACACAGTGAGAAAAATACATCTGTGTCCTGTTCGTTTTACAGTCGCAGCCTCATAATCGTAATGAGGTGCCCAGAAATTCCCACCGAGGTACCGAATCGTAATAGTGAGACCAGTGAAGCTGCTCACCCCTAATCAGTAAATGCACAATTACATGAACACAGATGAGCGTAAAGGAGACAGAGATGGTTTGTAATGAGCCCAACAGCTGCAGAGTTTTTCAATTAACTCGACGCCTGCTGGATCTTAAATGAACAGGATATGTTGGACTAAACTGGGTTTCATCCCAAATATAATATGATGAGGAGTCCTCACTCATCGCTGAAGCTTAGACACGTGAGCAGAGAGCGATGTGAGGTCACGAGAGGATGAATCTTTAATGGTTCCTTCTGTCCTCTGAAGTGATGAAGAGGAGCTGAGGAAGTCCATGTCGGAGCTGGCCGACGTCCGAACAGACTCCGCCTCCCACACCATGAAGCGGCTGGGGAGTGGAGGAAACCCGCTGGTGGGCGTCGCCCATCAGGCCGACGGCGAGCTGTACAAGAACGGCTTCCTGGTCCGCAAAGTCCACGCCGACCCCGACGGGAAGAGAAGTACGTCGCTCTGACTTCTTCTTCTCTTGTTTATTCTGTAACCTGTGTTTTATGATAGCAGCTGGATGAACTCATTTCCCATGATGCCTTGTTTCTCCTAGCTCCACGGGGTAAGAGGGGGTGGAAGTCTTTCTACGCCATGCTGAAGGGTCTGGTGCTCTACCTGCAGAAGGTAAACATCTGAACTACATTTCCCAGCAGCCCCGCTGTTTCACACACTGAGGGTCTATTTTTAACTCTGCGTGTCCCAGATCGGGTGAACATCAAACAATGTGGGTCAGGATCTAAATCTGAGTCCGTTTCTAATGTCATCGCTTTGTTTTTATACTGTTTTAAACCAACCCGTTATCCCTCCCCGACTCGTCACATACGGACGCACGGTCAAGACCATCAGCGTCAGTCTGTAACGCACTGGGGATCCCTACAGCGTCATAGTTCAACGCAGTGGGGGGGGAAGCCCTGTAGCGTCAGTTTGTGACGGTGAAGGCAGGTATACGATATTTACATTTATTCATTCAGCTGACGCTTTTATCCAAAGCGACTTACAATCGCTCTACATGTCAGAGGTCGCACGCCTCTGGAGCAACGAGGGGTTAAGTATTGGTGGATGGTCACAGTGGGGAGTTGAACCCGGGTCTCTCACACTAAAGATCTTATCCACTGCGCCGTCACCTCCCCATAGATATTAACAGAAAAGAGTGAGTAAGGAGGCGGCTGGAGGACCAGAACCCCGACTTTGAACCAGGAGGTTTGTGTCCTGTGTGAAACAAGAAGTCAACATTAAAGATTTTAATATAAGTTAAAGTTATGCAAGTTAACTTAGGTGTTAACTGACGTCTGTAGATATTTTGACCCAAACCATGATCTTTTCCTGACCTTAACCAAGTAGTTTTTGTGACTAAACTTAACCAAACTGCAACGTTTCACGACTTTAATAACGTGCCGTTTAAAAATGCCGATGTTTCGCTACCGCTTTATTTTGAAAGTCTAACCGGACAATGCAAATTTTCCTTGTTGCTAAGCGTTGCTAACTTGACCATGGAGCCTTAATCATCTAAAAATGACACTAAAGGGATCCCCAGGGCGTTAAAAAGCGACGCCAAAGGGCCTTGACCGAGCTTTCAGATGTAACGTGTTGTTTAAAGATTTGAAGGGTTTAAAACTTCTCTGGTTCACAGTAACGCTTCGTTCGGCAGCTTATTACTTGGTTTCTCATTAAAAATAAAATATTTTCTCATCCTATCGAAGTCCTTTTTTCCATTATATCAAAATCTTTTTAAAATACATGACAAATAATCTCAAAAAATGTATCAGAATCAGTTTTTTTTTCCAGGTATGTGTACACGTACGAGGAATTTGACTCAGGATTGTACGTTGCTCACGATACGCTTACTTATACAATAATAAAATCAGACACAGGCTACAGTGTAGAGAACACATATATATATATATATATATATATATATATATATATATATATACACACTGTAAACAAAAACAACAGACAGATTGAGACAATGCAGGAATAAATAAGTATTATGTGCAGGTGTTGTGTACTTTAGGTAGGTGGATTTGTTAACAGTTTATAGAATATACAAAATGAGCAGCTCTGAAATAGAGAATGGTGAATAAATAATAAGTGGAAACCAGTAAACAGGTGGCTGATTAGAGGCAGAGTTACTGGGTTATTGCACAGGAGTCAGCTGTGATGGCTTGTGGGAAGAAACTGTTGGTTTTGGCGTGCAGTGCTCTGTAAAGTGAAACTTTCATATCTTCTAGATTCATTACACATAAAGTGAAATATTTCAAGACTTGTTTTGTTTTAATCTCGATGATTACTTGAATTTATCAAACAGAAAGGTCGGCCTGAGAAAAGCTCTGATCGGCTCTGATCAAGTTAAACTTGATTCTGCTGCTCACAGAGAACTGTATTCAATATTCAAATGTGTTGCACCTGTATCAGAAACACAGGTGTCATGAACGCCGGGGAGTACAAGTATAAATAACAAATGAAAATACCTTTTAGAAAGGTTTCTTTGCACATTAAGAAAACATGCAATGCAATTAAAATATGGAAGAAACAAATGTGCACTGTCCAAAAAAAAAGGAACTTAAGCTAAAAAAACAAGCTGCTGATTATAAAATGACCCAAAAACATGCAGCACAGATCAGTAACTTTAACAACTTCCAGACACAGTTTGTTTTTGGCCAAGTTTTCTGTTCTCTCCCTGTGAACGTGACAAAAGAGGAGGGAAGACCAAATCATGTCTCGGCAGGACGATGTTACAGGAGAAACAGATCTGAGAGCAGCACTGACTGAGATTCTGTTATAGTTTGGTTAGATATTTAGAAATATAACCTGCCACCTGAATCCTGTGTTTCCTTTTACATAAATAAAAACATTTCCACCATAAATTATTGCAGAAACGTTCACCAGAATGCAGGTGTGCAGTGTTTAAAGATGAACATTTACTGAGGGAGGCCCCCCCCAGACCCCCCGCTGATGTATATCTCAGCATTGAGGATATCTTTAAAACACTGTTGAAGATCTTTTCATCATCTGTTCATGTGATTTCTAAGCGAGCTACGTGTCTCTTCACAGCCCTAATCTGACCTTATGTCCCCGCCACTTTCCAACAAATCAGAAACTTATCTACAAGCGTGAGATGTTTTTAGAACAAATTACCCCCAAATGGTGTTAAACAGCTGATGAATGATTGATGAAACAGAATAAATAGAGAAATTCTGAGTTTATAACTCATTAAACTTCTTGTTTTAACATCAAAATCTTGTTAATTTGAGAAATCTGAGCAGAAGGCAACACAATGCTGCCGCAAAGTTTTAGTCCTGAAAACTCTTGACTGACGGCGGGTTTAGGGTTTAAACGTGGCTGGATACTGATGTCGTGCTGCTCTGTGATTGGCTGACAGGATGAGTACCGTGCGGAGCGAGAGCTGACGGAGGAGGACGTGAAGAACGCCGTGTCCATCCATCACTCTCTGGCCATGAGAGCAGCCGACTACAGCAAGAGACCCAACGTCTTCTACCTGAGGACGGCCGACTGGAGGGTCTTCCTGTTCCAGGCTCCGTAAGGACCAACTCGCCTCCCTGTTCTTTCTTTCCTTCAGTCGCTCCAGCAGCAGCAGGATCATTTAAAATCCTTTCATTTACTGACTCCACCTCTTCCACAGGCAGCGGGTTGTGATTAGCTTCATTAGTAAAGGGGCTAACGTGATGGTAAACTGATTAATACCAGCTTTAAAACAGACCTATCAAACTGCTTTTCCAGTCCTATATCGTAGTTCTGTGACGCCTGTATGGCAGCTTTGCATGATTCAAAGGTCAAAAACAATAATTTTCTGACTAGGCCTTAATTTCAGCCTCTGTCTGAAACAAGCTGTAGATGCTCCTGTCTCTTTAAGTTCCCCCCCTCAAAGCCCACTGTCTTCTGATTGGCCAAGACCTGAATCATGTTACCAGGCTGCTGTTGTTGCTTTCAAAATAACACATGCTGATACAGTTTTAATTGCCTTTTCCTGCGCAGACCCCTGATTTGATGAGATGTAGTGTTTGAACTGAAGTTTCTTTAGATTAGATAAGAAAAGAAAACCTTTATTTGTCCCACAGTGGGGAAATTGCGGTTTGCAACAGCAAAGACAAGAGCAGAGATAGATAAGTGAACAAAGTAGCATAAAGAAAGTGGCCATAATAATGAGATTAATATAAGTAATAAAGAACACACAAGTGTTTCTTTCTGCCGTAGGACAACGTTAAAGGTTTCTGGACATCCACCACAGAAACTACAATTCACTTCAATATCTTTCCTAAATCTGTACTTAATAAAGTTTTTAGCTGGATCGAATTTATTCGTTTAAATACTTTAACCTCATTTTTTTTTTAAGCTTTGGCCATGTTTAACATGAACATCCGACATTGTAACATTGAAGATAAGTCATCAAATGTGGAAAAGCATAATAGGTGTCCTTTTAATTTCCTGTTGTGACGCTTCTTTAGAACATCAGGTAACTTTTGATATTTGCACACCTGTAAAGTAGTATCTGACCGTATTACACAAAGTTCATTGTGAAGTTTAAATAAAGTGTGGTGACCACAGAGATGTTAGAAAGCTAAGGTTCAACAGAACGCTGGGATTTGTCAGGAGTTATAAGCTATTATTTGTGTTGAGGCAGCGGTGGTTAAAATATTAGAAAAGCAAAGAACACAAAGGGCTAAAGGCAATACTGTAAAAACAGAATTACAACAAGCCAAGATCAGTTAGTCATAATTTCTATGTAACAGATGATTTACATTCAGACTTCTGCAGAGAGGAACATGCCTGCTGGATCCGCGCTGCACAAGCGCTTCTGTCAGTCACAGAAGGTCGCCGCAAATCTGCCTGTTCAAAATGATCCAACTAAATCTTTCACATCAAGATCACAAAATGTTTTTTAATCACTGGAGATGAACTGTGATGCAATAGGAATATACTAAGATATGAAAAACCTTATTCAACAGTACATTTCTAATATCGAACAATGACAACAGTCCCCTAGCTGCTGGCTGTAGGGTTAGCCGGTCGACATGCTGACAGTCGCAGAAACACTTTATATAAAACAACAGAAACAGCCCAAACAGATTAATATAAATCAAACAAACACTGTCCCGCTGACTGTCAGCTGGAAGCGATAGACATGTTGGGAATGTGCTAATATTTATTAACGGCAGAGTCGCAGCATCCTAAATATACACACTACATGTACACATTATCGTCTGCCCTCCTCTTCCTGCAGGAATGCAGAACAGATGCAGTCGTGGATCACGCGCATCAACGTGGTGGCGGCCATGTTTTCGGCTCCGCCGTTCCCCGCGGCCATCGGCTCCCAGAAGAGGTTCAGCCGTCCCCTGCTGCCGGGGTCCAACACCAAGCTGTCCCAGGTACAAACTCGGGTCCACGGAGGATCTCGGAGTAGTTCGGCTTCATGGTTGTGTGTCAGGTTTTACAGCAGGACTGTGTTCTCGTCCGTCCCCGCAGGAAGAGCAGGTCAAATGTCACGAGAACCGGTTCAGGGCGGTTTCCTCCGAGCTGGCCGACCTGACGGCCTCCACACCGGACCGGAAGGTGAAAGGTCGCGAGCTGGAGGAGCAGAAACTCCGACAGGAGTACCTGGAGTTTGAGGTGAGGACCCCTAACCCTGAGCACCACAAGCTGAATCCACGTCTAAACCCTCAGACTGCCTCAAATTGGCCCTCAGAGATCCTGCAGGAGGTGAATCTGAGTCAGAAACCTCTCTCCTCCTTCTCAGAGTCCAAACTGAGCCAGATCTGAACATGAAACACGCGTTGAATCATCCAGCGTGACTTTCACTGCTCGGTGACGTCGTCCTCTCTGATGTCCAGAACAAACGGCCAGAAATCTGCTGAGATCAGAGAGAACAGACGCCGCTGTTTTTAACTTTCCTTCAGCATCACAGTGATCATGTGACAGGCGTCTGTCGTGCAAGCTGACAGCTGATTCAGCTGCTGTTCACTGAGACAGTTTGACTAAATGAGAACAAAGACAGGCTGAAAAACACGAGTGAGAAGAGAACAGCAGCTCCGACCTGCAGCTGAAAACAGGACGCTCTCACTGTTTTCTGTCCTCTCGTTGGTTCTTGACCAGGCAGACATGTTGCTGTAGTTCTACCTTTACTGCACTACATGTGTGTGACAGCTTTAGCTTCCAGGTTACAGTTTGTATCTGCAGGTGTTGGCGATCACCTGCAGGAGGAAGAGTTACTTTACGTTCTGAGAAAATCCTCCTTCAGCTGAGTAAACTCTTTAAACCCTCCTCGGATCAGCCGGAAAACACTTCGTCACAAAGCTGAAAACCGGCTGCTTTTCAGCGCCGCTACAAAGACATGGTTTATAGACCATGATGCATTGCTGCAGATTAAACTACAACAACATCCAGATTAACGCATCAGGCATATTAATCCAGAAACATCAGATGTAGCAGAGAAACATTTTACCACAGGGGGAGTGTCTCAGTGTTTGGACTGAAGTAAACGGCGTGAAACCCTCCTGAGTGTCTCCGTAAACCCTCTGAGGTCTGAATATAACTGCTGACAGACGGACTGAAGTTTCTCTGCAGCTCCTTCTGTCTCAGCTCTTCATCACTAACTGTGACTGGATCCGTCTGTCGGGTGTCAAACAGGCTGCAGAGGCACAAACACACGGTGTCGGGAACACGGAGCTCCGCTCGAGGACCGGTCTGCTGTTTGCTTTCCGTCCTGCTGAGCGCATTTTACTCCGTAACCAGTGTTGGGCGAGTTACTTTTACTTATTACTTCTTAAAAAAGTATTACGGTATTAAAAGCAACTCGTTGTGTTACTGTTTTACTTTCACTATCCTGATCAGCAGCTCATTATAGAGATGAATCCACTTTACTGGAGCAGTAATATCCCGAGGAGTCGACAACACTGCAGCCTCTCCGAGCAGAGGATGCTCTGCAGGATAAGAGCGTGTTCAAAAAAGCAGCAACGGATTGAAGTTTTTACAAAACATCAAACGTTTCTTGACGCCTCTGGCTGAAATAAAAACAAAGCGAGTCTCTCCGGAGTTCAGAGCTTTTACAGAACATCAAACGTTGCTTAACGAGTCCGAGCATCTGTGGCAGCAGCTGCCCGAGTTTCTGTCTGCAAGTTTCACGTCGCTGCTTCAGATGCTTCAATAAATTAGATGTGGAACTGTTTGCGGTTGAAAGCTTTTTGCTGGTCGCACAAAGTTTACAACGGACGACAAAGTTGTTTTTATCTCCGACTGTGACACAATAATGGAGATATTTCCAGCTGTGGAAAGAACGCCTCTCTCCCTCGTTGTCTGTTCTTCCTTTAGCTTCTGGGCTTGAACAACATGAGGTCCAGCTTCTGCCACAGCGGTCAGGGACTGAAATATTATTACTGTAGTGGAAACAACCTTTCCTCTTCTCGGTCAGAGGGACAGTAATAATACTGCTGCCCAACACTCGGATCAGAATCACTGAAAGATCTGAAACTGGTTCAGTTCTCTGCAGCGGGTCTCGTGTGAGAGCGAGTTCTGTCCTCTTGGCGTTCCGCCTCGCTGTAATTGTTTTTCCTGCGCCCTGCCCTCCGCTCTTGGAGCCTTCTCACCGCTGCATGCGGTTATTGGCCGGGGTTACACACCCACAGGTGCAGGGGCACCAAAGCAGAAGGAGAAGCAAAGACACACTGAGTTTTCTTTCTGCCTGTTGGAGAAGAGGAATCGAGGCTTTCAGAGGTGAAATGTGCACTAATAAATTCTTGTTTTAGTATTTAGGGCCAATATTAGAGATTATTTCAGGCTTTCAGCAGCGTGAGATGTTTATTTTAGTGAACAGGTGAGAAGAGCTTCACTTCCTGTTGATATGATTCAGATCAGCTGAAAACCAACAGATCTGAAAGTTTTCAGATTTTATTTCCTGTGATAATCAAACTGTCCTCTGTGACGTCACCGCCGTCTCTAACCGCCGTCTCTCGTCTCCGTCCTCCTTTACAGAAAACCCGGTACGGTACGTACGCCATGCTGCTTCGGGCCAAGCTGTCCAGCGGAGACGACGACCTGTCTGCCTTCGAGTCGCGGCTGTTTGACGACGGCGGCCTGCAGAGGGCGCACTCCAGCCCCACGCTGCCTCTGGAGGGCGCCAACAAGGAGAAGACCCGCGGGTCCAAGACGTCGAAAAGCTTAAAGGTCACGTCCTCGACCTCCAAGACCGGCGCGGGCACCAGAGAGGGAAGCAAGAAGAACGGCGGCGGCAACAATCAGCAGCTGGAGCTGCAGAAACAGAGCAGCCAACAGGAAGAGGCGCCGTAAGGCGGCGAGAATCAGGTTTTATATAAAGTGTGTAGCTGGAGACGGACATGATGCATCATGGGTAACAGGCTGACATCCTCCTTTAAACCTTTTCTGTTAAACCTGATTCTGATTGGCCGAGGGGACTTTTCCTCCGGAGCCGAGCTGAGACGTTCGAGGTCGGTGGGAAAGGAAACGCTCGTCACGGAGCGGGACGAGCGAAGTATCGAGACATTCAGGAAACACTAACGAGGTTCGCAACGTGTCGTCTGACCATCAGCCAGCTGTCGGCTCATTTCACGGCCAGACGGCGTTCAGCACCTTCACTTCCTGTCAGATCTTCATTTCAGGGACTTTAACCCTTCAGCGTCCTGCGGCGCCATCTGCTGCTGCTGAGCTTGTAGGTACTTTTATTTTTTTTTTCATCTCTCAGAGCGACAAACACTGACCTCCTGCACCGTCTCCTAGCAACAAGAGATGGACTCCCCCGCCACACAAACAAACAAACGGGCCGAGGCTGTGATGATGCGTCACAGAGTGTGTGTGTGTTGCAGTACTGTGAGTACACAGTAATACTGCGTTAGCACTTGCTGTGTGTACTTCCAGCTGAACGTGAAGCTGCAGCTTGTTTTTTATTCATGTTGTTTTCCTCACTGAGTTCTGCTGAAACAAAGCGGCTGTACGGAGGTTTGTTAGTGACCACAAACTGACTGAGCAACAAACAGTCACTTAAACTCAATCAGGCCGAGTCGACGGCCGAATACCTTGCTTTACTCATCGCTGCTTTGCTGCCTTTATAGAGCGCCGACGTGAAACCACAACCACTTCTTCTTCTTCTGCTCCAGACGTAAAACAAAACCTCATTCAAAACTCCATTGACATTTCTAACAATTCTAAAAACTAAAAACTCTTCCTCAACATCACGTCGTCGGGCTCGCTTTATGCGTTCGGCTCAGGACGGAAAAACATTTAAATATTTAACAAAACCATTTCCTGTTAGCCTGAACGTCACGGCTCGACAGAAGAGGCCATCAGTTGCAGAAGCTGGACAGGAAGTGACGTCGTGACCTCGGCTCTCTATAAACGCTCTGAACAGGTCTAACGCTCGCTCAGTAGTTTGGTCGTTAATAAACTTCCTTTGTTTCTCTCTCTCTCCGCTGGAAACTTAATAATGTTTGAATCCGTCCACTTTCCCCTCTCACCCCTCCCGGTCACAGATGGAACACGTGTTGATCGGAGAGTTCAGACGCTGTGAGTGAAACTTCCTGTCTCGCTCTTCACACGTCTTGTTGAAGTAAAGAAAATGAACCTTTTGCTTGTTAAGACAAACTGAAAAATGAAAGTCTCCTGATCATCTTCGCTGTCGGACGCCTGCAGGGATTCTCCACGTGCAGTTCCCTCTTGAAGCCAGCAGAGCGCGACGTTGAGCCGCGAACAGACGTTCAGGCTCAATCCCAATCTTTCACATTTACCTAAAAGTTCAAAAATGACAAGGCCAGCGTTCAAATATATTAGAGTCAAACTTAACTTAAAGTATGTAAAAGTACTCATGTAAAAAGTCCATATCAGAATAATTTATATGATATTATTGGATAATTCATCACTTTAATGTTGCAGATGGTACTTTATTTACTGCAGGGAAGCTTATAAGATAATTTATCAGTTAGTCACATTTTGTATTAATAATCTGAAAGATAAATATAGTGAGAGAGTAAAAAGTACAACATCGGCTTCAGTGCAGTAAATGTACTCTAACATTTCTTTCACTGTGAAAGATAATTAGGAGTTTTGGCGGGAACAGTGAAATAAATCAAAATAAAAAATAAAGAGTTGGACGTTACAGAAGTCAAAGTCAGAACTTCATCTGGAGTTTCTTTTTCTTTTTTGAATCTCGGGGACGATTCATCATTTTAAAGGAAAATCTGCACAATAAAGAAACAGTTATCTGGTCACATGATCACTGTTGAGTCGTCCAGACAGACCTCAGATCAGTGTGAAGTCGCTCTGACACCGGTCACGTTTCAGTTTGTGATGACAGACGTTGTCAGATATCCACTAAAATAACTGTTTGTCCAGATTGAGTGATCTCATTAGGTTTATAGGCTTCGTCCAGGTCACGGTTCATTAATAATACTCTATATAATAATATCCTGGGACTTTGGAAACATCAGCATCGTCTTTGATTTCCTTCCCGTGCAGCGTTTCTGTGTAGTAACAGGTGTAATGAGAGGAAACGGTCGCCAGGTGGCAGCAGAGAGAAGTGTTGGTGTTAAACAGAATGATCCACCCTAAAGTTTCAGATTCAGACTTCACACACAAGCAGAAGCTGCAGAGTCGTTTCATCTGTTGCTCACAGGTTTTTCTTTATTTGGAAATGAAACTCTTCAGACTTCTGTTCGTTTGACAGGTTTGTGATCAGGAGCACAAAAAGATCCTGAACATCAATCTGTGACTCCAGATTCCCTGAAAACGCTGAAGGAACGGCGGAGGTCTGGACTCCTAGAGGAGGAAAGGTTTGTGATGAACGCGCCTCGGTGTGATTACAGACTCACAGAAACACTGAGAGGGACGAACAGGAAAGTTCGACACTTTGAATGAAGCTGTTTTTCTCTTGGTGTGCGGTCGTCTCCGTCCCGAAGACGCTTAAAAACAGCACGGAGGGCTTTATCGAGTCGAACCACACGTCTCAAAGGTACAAGTGAAAGATTCTTTCTGTCCGGTGGTCTGAAGAAAGTCGTCTCATGACCTCGATCCGCTTCTTGAGATCAAAACAAGAAAACCGGTTCCGAACACGTCACACATGTAGATCTGGTTCTCAGTCCTCATCAGTGCTCATGAGCTCTGGGATCAGAGATCCTCTGTACGGGGGTTTGACGGTAAATCCACACCAGCTGTTTCTGGCGCAGTCCGAGGCTTCTCACATGGCGCTGACGTCTTGCTTCAGATTCCCCACGAGCCGAGCCATTCTTACCCCCGCCGCCGTCTCTGAAGCACATGACACTAATAGAGAGCCTAAGCCCCTCCCCCTCTGGTGGACCCCCATGGGACCTTTCAACGGAGAGACAACTAATGTTTTGACCCGTTTGAATTTAGTCCTGAGTTACACACACGATGTTTAAGATAATTTAATTCAAGAAAGTCACAGTTTGTGACATTAGGTTATTATATATTTTCATACTACATATCTCATAATTTTGACTTAAGTAGGTAAAATAATTCAAGTTATTTATTTTTTATTTTGTTAACTAATTTATCATTTTATTTTAATTGACTTTCCAAAACATTTCAATGTCAGTTTAGTCTAATATATCATATTTTTTTAAATAAAAAAGCCAAATTTAAACTTAATAATTAAAGATTGTCAATTGTTCCCTTGAGTCCAAATGTTGATAGTTATATTTATTTATATTTAGTTTCTTAATTTCACTGAAATATTTTGACCTTTTGAGTCAAAATTATTTCTCACAATATGATTTAAAATGTGACAAAATTTACTTACAGTGACAATCAAGAAAGTCACCTTTTGTCATAAAACTGCTGAAGTATAAGGCTGTGAAAATACGTAATTACTAAGAACACAAACCCGCTAACGTTACTGTAGCTAACGTTACTGTAGCTAACGTTACTGCAGCTAACGTTACTGCAGCTAACGTTACTGAAGCTAACGTTACTGCAGCTAACGTTACTGCAGCTAACGTTACTGAAGCTAACGTCAGAGCGCTTCCATGTGTAGATGATGTGATGAAAGGACCAGGAGTCGTTGGATTAAACACATCAGGTGAGATACACAATGAACATTAGCTTAGCATTACAGCGTTCACATGTTGTATGTTGTGCGAGAGGAGAGATGTAGATCATTAAACGGTTTCACACAAAACCACGTTATTTTCCTGTTTTACGACAAACTGCGACTTTCTTGACTTAAATTATCTTTTAAACTGACAAACATCATGTGTGTGACTTAGAGCAGAATTCAAACTAGACAAAAACATTTGTTGTCTCTCGCCGTTGAATACGGAACATATTTATTCTGAAATAAGGTCCCATGGGGCGGAAGAGGAAGCGATGGACTTGCGTACTCACAGATCGCCTAGTGTGAGTTCGCATCGGCTCTGTGCATGAAGTCGTTCATTTCCCAACCAACGTCCTGGTCGCTGGTCGTAAAGTGGAGTCATCAATGGCGACCATCAGCTTTACCTCCATTTTGTTTGAGGTTCTTTGACGTAGTTGGGCGGAGCTTCGGGGAATCAAAACCGGCTGACCGGATGAGTCAGGGGACATTTACATAATTTTCAGCGTTTGTCACGCTTGACTGGGATGTTTTTTGAGGTCTGTTTCACAAAGTTTGGCGTCTCTGGTCTCCAGCGTCTGTGTGAAGTGGACATTACCTAGACATCATCTAATTAAACCTTGGTCCAAATCATAAAGTAGTTCTGAGGCTGAAGGTCTTGTGCATCACTGTGATGGTGACCGTCCTGGTCTGGTCCTGGTCTGGACCGGGTCTGACTGTTCTCTGGTCTCTTTCATTGGCATTATGTCCTGCAACATTTCAAAGAGTCCTTACTTTTAAAATCCTTAGCGGACCTTCATCCAGAAAGACCTCTGGGGTTCTTTACAGTGATGTGAAGTTCAGACCAAATCTGTCCTCCGGCCTCTTCCCTTCCTCCATCAGATAATCGTCTTCACGCCGGTCGGTGCGGGAGGAAGCCGCTGCTGCTGATATGCTAACGGACCGCAGGGCTCAGACTCATCCTCCCGCTGAGCTGTTTGGCCCTCGCTGGGTCGTATTTACTCCCTCAAATATCCAGTAAACTCGTGTATTTCTGGTGTATTTGTCGCACTGTGCAATGTAAAGCAGCATAGGATGAATTTGTCTAAAAGTCATGGCCGCTTTCAGCTCTGTGTGTTTCCAAACCGTGTAAATAAATGTTCACGTTGAGAAGCCATATTGTAGTTGGGCTGAACGCCTGGCTAGCACTCGCTTTAGGGCACTTTGGTTTAGATATTTTAGAGTGAAAGCAGATGTTGAACCTCCTCAGAGGGGTTGAACCCACCACTTTATTTATTCTGATTGACGACAAATTTAGTTTCTGTGAAAGTTTTTTTTTATTTTTTCCTTGCGGCTTCGCTGCGTTCTGAATGTTCGCCGCCGGCTCGCCGATCGATGGCTGTACATACTGTCCACATGCTGTGAGGTTTTGGTCGTAGTGAAAATGTTTCGAAGGCTTAGAGGCAAAAATAAAACGTTTTGAAAACAAAAGTCGAAGGTGTGAGAGTTATTTTTATTGTTACAGCGCAGAATTTGTTGATTAAATATTTCCAGGCTGTTTGGTGAAGAAGAGAAACCACGTGAATACACATAACGACAATACACTGATGTCGACGACAAGAGAGAAGGAAACTTTACTGCTTAAATAAAGTGCAACAGTTCTTTGTAGTATCCTCAGGTTCTAATTGATTCAGTCATTGATAGGTGATAGAGTGCAATGAAATATAAGTGTACAGTGGGTACGGAAAGTATTCAGACCCCTTTAAATTTTTCACTCTTTGTTTCATTGCAGCCATTTTCCAAAAATCAAAAAAGTTCATTTTATTTCTCAGTAATGTACACTCAGCACCCCATCTTGACAGAAAAAAACAGAAATGTAGAAATTTTTGCAAATTTATTAAAAAAGAAAAACTCAAATATCACATGGTCATAAGTATTCAGACCCTTTGCCGTGACACTCATATTTAACTCAGGTGCTGTCTATTTCTTCTGATCATCCTTGAGATGGTTCTACACCTTCATTTGAGTCCAGCTGTGTTTGATTATACTGATTGGACTTGATTAGGAAAGCCACACACCTGTCTATATAAGACCTTACAGCTCACAGTGCATGTCAGAGCAAATGAGAATCATGAGGTCAAAGGAACTGCCTGAAGAGCTTTGAGACAGAATTGTGGCAAGGCACAGATCTGGCCAAGGTTACAAAAAAATTCCTGCTGCACTTAAGGTTCCTAAGAGCACAGTGGCCTCCATAATCCTCAAATGGAAGACGTTTGGGACGACCAGAACCCTTCCTAGAGCTTGCCGTCCGGCCAAACTGAGCTATCGGGGGAGAAGAGCCTTGGTGAGAGAGGTAAAGAAGAACCCAAAGGTCACTGTGGCTGAGCTCCAGAGATGCAGTCGGGAGATGGGAGAAAGTTGTAGTAAGTCAACCATCACTGCAGCAATCCACCAGTCGGGGCTTTATGGCAGAACGGCCCGACGGAAGCCTCTCCTCAGTGCAAGACGCATGAAAGCCCGCATGGAGTTTGCTAAAAAACACCTGAAG